TTGCAATAGAATTGCAGAGCTAGACTTGGAGGGCATTTTGAGATCAAAAGCAAGTTTTTCTGCTGAGAATCTCAGAAAAGATAGTTCAAAAGTCAGAGCCAGTACCCATAAGCCCTTAGGCTTGTCCCTGGAGCTGCCATTCTCTGCATTGTAGAAGACATTTCTGGTTTTATTGTATTTAGTATTGTATTTATGTATTGTATTTAGGCCTACCTGATGCCAGGGACCCAGTAAGGTGCAGTGAAGACCAGAACTACACGAGAGACACCTGACATCACAGAAGAAAATGTGTGTATGCTGTAAAGTACTAGATACCATTATGAAGTACTAGAAACCCAGAACCCAGCCCCATCCTCTGTCCCCAGAGGCCCCTGTCCTGGCAGCTGACGCCCCAGCCCAGCCCTGCTCCCTCCACCACTGCCTGTCTGTGTCCTTTCCCCTGATGGTTTCCAACCTTCTCCCCATAAAGCATCATTAGAGAAGTTGTTTCCAATCCTTTTTGCTGTGTCCACAGTCCCTACCATGTTTGACCCTCCCCTCCTTCACCCACTCTGTTTGCCCAGGCTGTCTGTTCCTATTGGTTCCTCAAACGAGCTGCTTACATGCAAACTCTTCAACAGTTCCCTCAGATGCCTGAGAAGGCTGGGGTTGTTGTTTACACTATAGAGTGCTTGCCTGGCATGCATGAAGCCATGGGCTCCAGCCCTAGAACCATCTAAGTTGCCATGGTGGTGCATGCCTCTAGTCTCAGCACTTGAAGGTGGAGGCAGGAAGATCAGAGTTCAAGGTCACCCTCAACTACATATAGGAAGTTTGAGGCTAGCCTTGGCTGCAAGAGACTCTGAGAGGGGTGGGCACTGGAGATAAAAATGTGAAGTGTGTCTGAGAGTGCTCATCACATTGTCTCAATTGCCTGAATACCTTGACTCCCATCAGGAAGTGTTGTGGATGTAAACATGATTTTGTTTTGATCCCAGATGTAGGCAATGGGACTGATTCAGATGGTACACAGCAGCAACCTATTTGCCTCACGCCGGCTCTGAGAAGGGGAGCTTTGCCAGCTGCAGATTGTTTAAATCTGAGGATTCTGGAGAGAGAATAAAGGCTAGGGCCCAGAGAGAATGTTGTTGGAAGGGGGGGGGGGGGGCTCCAAGAAGAAGGCTGCCAGTGCTTTCCCCCTGCTGTTCCTGGTTGCAGTTGATGCAGTTGGTTGAGAAGTTGGAGATACCTTGAAAGGAAGATTGGACTTGCTCCAAGGAACCTGACGGCCCTAAACAGCAGGAAGTAGCTAAAGAGAACTCTGCTCCAGTCCCCACTAACCACCTTTCTCTCCTACCCGGTACTGGGGTGTTGGAAGGGATTGGGGTGGAGCAGGGAGAAAGAGGCATTAAGAAACATAAAATAGTATAAAAAATAACGCCAACAAGGAAGAAAATGGACACATAAAATAATCCTATCTATCAAGGAGACATGAAGACACAGATGAATCATAACCACACCACGAAGCAAAAGAATCCAGGCACAGAAGTGTGAGCTATAGGGTTCTGTTGATTAAAAAGTCCCAATGCTGGTGATGGAGAGTAACAGAAGCCAAGGTGAAGATCTGCCTTAGAGGCTGGGGAAGGAACCTAAGGACAGCCCCAGAGTGTGCTTGGTTTCTTTTATGAGTCTGGTCACACACTTTGGAGTAGGTAGTTCTAATATCAATTTATCCACTGGGGATGTTCCACCTCCCAGTTGGACTTTCACACTCATTCATTCTTCTACCTGGAGTTCATCTTCTCTTGGTCTTTCTTTGGTGAATTCCTATTGGTTGTTCTGATCTAGCCCAGCCTTCCCCTTCTTTGGGGAGCCCTTTTCCTATTGCATCAGTCAGCTGTGACGGCAAAAACAAACATGACCATGAAGAAAGTGACTTGAAACTGTGATTGATAACTCAAAGTCTGTCTTTGGAAAGCACAAGAGCTGTCAGACTAGAGGGCTCTGTCCAGACACAGTTAGGATGAAGCCATCAGGAGGTTAGCTGTCTAGGCCCCTCAGTGGCAGGAAGGAGACCAGCCTGAACAGATTCGGATCCCAGCCCTACCCCTACTCCTGGTTCAGCTTTGGGCAGACCTGGACTTCTGCCCTTGTGAATGAGAGTCACAGCGAGTTTTCCAGGCAGTGAATGCAGGTAGTATACAGAGCTGGCTCCCTACACCTAGTGGGCACACAGCAAGGACCCTCTACTCTCCTTGTGTCACAGGCTAATGTCACATGGGGGCAAGTGCAAGGCAAGTGTGAGGTGATCTGGAGGCGTCCGGTGACCTTGGCACCCTCAGTTTCACAGCGGCTACAGCCTGGGGCAGCTGCGACCTGGTGCCCCTCCCCAGGTGCAGGTGCTGCTCCTGTAGGGTCCTCCAGTGTGTCTTAGTAGCCAGTCCCATTTTTGAGTTATTGCTGAGTCCACTAATGAAAAGTTCTATAAAAGTGTCTCCTTTGCTAATTAGCCATACCTTCCTGGTGCCAGGTTAGCAAGAGTGTGGGTCAGAGGTAACCGGACACTAGCCACCTCCAGCAGAGTGGTGCTGGTGCTAAAGTTGGAGTAAGTTGGCATTAGTCACTGTGGAGCCCTGCCTGCTCCCACACCCCCAAAGTTGGGAACTGGCTCTCTACTGCTGGGGTCATTCACAAGTCTCAGCAGGAAGCTGGAAGGGAGGATGGGAAGGAGGAGAAACTTGGGGAGATACGGGCCGGGCCGGTAGCTTTGAGAGCAAGTGACAGCAGGGACTCCCGAGCTTATCCGGAATCCAAGGCTGCCTGCCTAATTTGTTGTGCCCTGTTTGAAGAATAGGCTTATTTTTTAAAGAAGCCCTTCTGGGGAGACCTGCCCACCAGAGCATTACCTGCTCTGAGGCCAGATCATTGAAGAAAACCCCTAGGACAAAGAGAGCAGGAGGCTGGCTCCTGTCAGACCTTTGGTCCTGACGTCAGGCTCCACCCTCCAGCATCCTCATCCATGAGGGGAGCATTGTGGGTGGAACCTATAGCTTCAGGGCCTTTTTCAGCATCATGAGAAGCCACTTCTGAAAGAATAGAGTCCTCCCTTCACATGGTCTTAACTGCAGTGTGGGGACAGGTGTGAAGTCTCAGCCCCACTTGATTCTGAAAAGGCATGGGACAACTGTGGGCACAGAGCAGCCCTGACCTCGTGAATGGCTCATTGATTTCATAGCAGAATCTGCCTCCCAAGCTTGTACCTCTCAAGGGGCCTAGTGGGAGCTCAGTGGATATGCAAGGGGACACACACATTCATGACAATTGAGCAGCAAATAAGGGTGTGGCATCCGGGAGGGAGATGAGGGGAAGATGCTTGGGGCGGGAGGGAAGCTAGAGCTGTGCATAAAGGAAACCCAGGGCTGAGAATCCTGAAGATGGAAGGGTAGCCTGGTGTGGGCAGAGGAGCCTGGCTGTGGTGCTAAAAACTGGCTTTCCAAGAATTGGGGGCAGGGGCACACAGGACGCTCCCGGACATTCCCATGTGTCCCTGTCAAGAATGCCTCCATCTTCCCAGGGCTAGAATGCAAGAATGCATCCTTCCTCACTATTTACTTTCTTCCCTTCCCAGTTCCTTCACCAAGGTACTCACAGCGTCAGCCACTGTTCACACTGGGCACAGGTGGTCCTAGGTCAGTCCCAGCCTCCACCACCATGGAACAGTAGGAAAGAAAGGGGACAGTTTGACGTGTAAAGACACAGTTACAGCAGGGTCCATGCGATAGTGTCTCTCTGCTAGCTGTGCTCTAGGTGGGTGGGACAGACATGGCTGTAAAAACTCTTGTCACCTGGAGTAGACTTCCTTTTCTGACATCTCTACTCTAAGTTCGCCCTGGGGACTCACTTTGGTCCATGGATATTAGCAGATGTGACCCACACAGAGATTTAAACAGTACTTGTGCATTTGGACTCTTGCCTGCTTTTGGGTTGCTGAGAATTCTGAGACTAAGGTATGAAAAGCCCAGGTCAGCCAACCGCAGAGGCCTTGTGGGGGTGCCCAGCAACTGTGTGCCATCTTCCAGCCATGTGAGGCCTTCTAGGCCTTCTAGATCATCCTTCCTGGGGCATTCAGATAGGAGAGGCTGTATCTTCCTCCCAGGCAGCACCCGAACATCCCTGTGAGTTGATGGAGATCTGCTGCCCTGGCAACTGAGCTTCAGCCATGATCTCCCTTCTTGCCATTATCACTTGACATTTGCATATGGTCAGGTTTGATTATTGCTGACGATTTACACAGTCCTGAGACAGACCGTGAGAATTTATCACAAGGGGAGTTTGTGCCTGAGGAAGGAAGGGGTTGTCCTGGTTCTGAGCTTTAAGTTTTTAGAGCCTCGTTTGCAGAATAATCAATAACTCATTTCCTGGCCTATAACCTCATATCCATGAATGGGCTATGCTTGCTCCAGGATCCAGACTTGTATGTTGCCACTCAGCGGCAAAGGCTGATTCATCTTCTCTCTCTGTCTCTGTCTCTCTCTCTTCTCCTCTCTCTCCTCTGCAGACAGTCCAAAAAAAGATTAGGCAGGTAACCATTTCTAGTGAAGCCAAGCTGCCAAACCTTGCCCACCACTCTCCCTCCTAATCAGCAGGGATGGCACTGTTAGCTGCTTTAAATGGAGTGATGGTTCCCATGGAGGAGGCAGGGATCTTGTTTGGTCTTCGAGGTGTTATCTAGCAAAGGTTTCCAGCAATCCCTACCTGGGAGGAGGCCAGCCTCCTGAGGTGAACTGACCCCATGTTGCCTTATTTCTCTTTGGTTTTACATGTCCTTCAGCCCTCAGAACCATTCTTTTTCAAGAAAAGCAAAGTTACACATTTATCCCTGTCAGATAGCTTGAGGCGGGAAAGGAAAGGGGCTTCCTGCCAGCATCTAGTGCCTTGTTGGCCCTGGGACACCTCATAGGGACCCTGGTAATACTCCCTCAGTGGGAAAAGCAGAACCAAGCGTGGAGCGTATAGCTCACCGGGGAGTCCCATAGGCATGCGAGCTAATTCCTCAGGCTGCCGCCGTGACGTCAGGGCACCCGCAGTAAGTGTCCTCTGAGCTTCTCTGAGCCAACTCTGAATGGACAATGGACCAATGTGAAAAGGAGAGAATGATCTGAATATTGGGATGTCCACATCTTTTTTTCATAGGAGACACCTTCTGAGACCAGCGAAGTGGCCACCAAACATCCAGTCCTGACAACAGGAGCATGTGGCTGGTATAATAGCCATAGACCCAGGGAGGCTGTCAATTGCACTATATGACGCTGTACCATGATGGTTCTCAACCTGTGGGTCGTGACCCCTCTGGGGGTCAAACTATGACCCCAGATACATTGCAATTCATTAACAATAGCAAAACTATAGTTATGGAGTAGCAATGAGGTAATTTTATGGTTGGGGGTCACCGCGACCTGAGGAGCTGTATTAAATGGTCGCAGCATCAAGAAGGCTGAGAACAACCGCTCTACAGGCCATGCCCAGGTGCATGGCTGCTCCCACTCTGCTGTGTTTTTGTGATAAAGGCATCACCAGAAAAGCTGATAGGCAAATGTTGGTTCTGCCTGTCTGCCATCCACTCCCAGGCCTGCTGCTATGCGTGTCTTGACTTCTGTAGGAGTTGTTGCTTCTCACCTAGGATTGGGGTAGCAGGTGGGTTTCTCCATCAAGGGGTTCATCTTAGTGATGTTTTTATTACTGTGAGCATCATAACCAAGGCAACTTGTAGGAGGAAGAGTTTATTAGGGGCTTGCTAACGCCTTCAGAGCGGGAGTCTGCGACCATCAAGGTAGAGAGTGTGGCGGTGCACAGGCAGGCAAGGTTCTAAAACAGCTGAGAGCTTAGATCTTGACTCACAACAAGGTAGAGAGAGCTGACTGGGAATGGCATGGGCTTTTGAACCCTCAAAGCCCCTCTCCCTCCAGTAACGCACCACCTCCAACAAGGCCACACCTCCTAACCGTTTCCAAACAGTTCCACCAACCGAGGACCAAGTATTAAACATATGAGCCTATGGGGATCCTTCTTCAAACTACCACAAGATTTGTGTATAGCCTATCTAGCCTATATAGGGATATATATATATATATATATCCCTATATAGGGATATATATATATATATATATGGCTATCTAGGACCAACTCAGCCCATCCAGGGAAACCCCTCACTCTCTGCAGTTTCTGTCCTAAGCAGAAGGAAGCAGCATTAAAAATGCAAGAAGCTGACTTGTCCAATAAAAGGACAGAGCAGCGACCCAGGAGACATTCCCAGGGGTTACTGCTCTGACCTGCTCTGCTCCACTCCTCTACCCAAGGATCCATAAGCCCCGTAGGGAGCCACTTGGGCCTCCCATTTCTTGAACAGGCCAGCCACACTGCTGTCTGTTGTTTGCAAAAGAATTCTGACACAGGAAGTGATTCCTCAGCGTCACCCTGCTGATGAGTGACTGAGTCAAAACAAGGCCTCCACATATCACCAGGTTCCCAGGAAGACACTGTTCCCCAATGCCCATGGCTGATGGGAAGGCGGCCCTGCCACCATGTGAGCCTTTGAAGAAGGCTGAAAGCAAAAAGGCTTATGATAGGATGACATCTGTCACCATGGAGCAGCCGCGAAGGCCCACACTCTGTGAAGGCATCCAGCAGAAGCACGACCACACACCCTCTGTGCCTAGAGTTAATGGGGTATCTTGATTGTTCCTGTCAGCAAACTACTCCACTACTCAAACCTTCAATCCATCACGTACTTTTAAAAGCAAAATCCGTGGCTTCGCTTAAACAAGCTTCCTTGTTTACTTAATGATGGTGCCCTATTGACTGAGCAGGAACGTTCTGTGAGGAACATTCCCTTCACAGCCTCCTGCAGGATCCTGAGGTAGCAGACGGGTTGGGGGCAGGGTCAGGGAGCAGTGTCATGCTAGCTTGGAGTCTCTGAGCCTGTGGAGACAGCTTCCTGGGTTGACGTGGAAGTCACCTTCAGGCTGCCTGAGTTCTTTAGCACCCACATCCCCACCTTGGTAAGGCAGCAGTGGCCTCTGATCTCAGCAGAGGCTCAGGGTCTTCCTTTCTCTACCCTTTGCCCAGTGACCTTCTTGGGTACACTGTGACTCTCTGATCAGGCTCCCAGGCAGACGACCAATAGGCACCTCTACTGTGAGGCAGCTACAGCCACCTTGACAGCTAGTCTCTGGAACTAACTTCCTCCCCTCACACATGTTTTCAAGGCCCTCTGATTCCTCTTTACCCCAAGGTGACTCCCTGACTCCATTTTGCTCATCTCTGGACCCGTAATCCATCCTGAAGTGTGAACCATGGTCACCGGAAGCTTCTGCCAGGCCGCCATAGACGGCTCTCACCTCTCTGTCAGACTCAACGTCCCTCCACAGTGTGGGAGAGCTGACAGTCCTCGTGGAAATAGCTATAACTGTGGCCAATTTCAGTAATTTCAGAATTGCCAGGGAATTCCAGCCTGTCGCAGCTGCTCCTTCACACTGCCTTTGATCTCCACTAGTCTCCCTGAGACACAAAATACTGTTGTCATCGTCAATTACTCCAGGAGACAGGGTGGCCTTGACCTTGCCACCAGGCTTCCTCAGCCCACAGGAGGCAGCAGATGTCATGGAGGAAAGCCAGGCTCTGGACAAGGGGACTTCCTCGGGCCCGTTCTGGAAGCTGGGGCCTCTGGAGAGGATTGTATGTGAAGATAGACTCCCGTGTGGAGGGCCAGAGGCCTGTGTTGGTGAAGTTTAAATAGTACAGGTTGCTGGTTGCCTTTGTGCCAGCACGCTTCCTGTTAGGATGTACTGCCGTCTCTGCTTAGTGGATGTGGAAACCGAGTCCCAGAGAGAGTTACTCAAATCGGGGTATGGTCTGGTGATGAGGCCACTAGCTTTACCCCATTTGGTTGTCTTCTGTTCAGTTTGCTGTAACTGGTTTGTTTGAAGTGCTGGAAATGGAACCCAGGGCCTGGTACATGCTAGGCAGGCACCTTATCTTCCAGCTAGATCCAAGCTCTATGCTTCATTTGCTTCTTTACTTTTTATGGTGAGTTAGATGCTTACCAAGTTGCCCCAGCAGGCCTTGAACTTGTGACCCTCTGGCCTCAGCCCCCCCAAATGCCAGAATTACAGGCTTAACACCACTAAATGCAGCTGGGCTGAGTTCCCCCCATTGTTCACAGCCCTGGATCTGGATGCATAACGAAAGTCCGCCCTTCCTCCTGGCTCTTCAAGATCAGAAACTACATCTCTCCTTCTACAGCCCCTGTCAAAATGGGGCCCTGTGTTAGTGCGCCTCAGCCAGGCTCACAGCTTTAATGTCCTTACCACACAGTGATGTGTGTTCTTACTATAGCATGGCTGTCTCAGAGAGCAACTGTTCTCAGGACACCTAACCAGCTTGTCCAATCCTGCCTTTCCCTCCAGAGCAATGATTCTCAATCTGTGGGTCTTGACCCCTTTGGGGTTGCCTAAGACCATTGGAAAGTACAGATATTTACACTATGACTCAGAACAGTAGCAAAATTATAAAGTTGCAACAAAAGTAATTTTATGGTTGAGGGTCTGCGACACATAAGGAACTGTATTAAAGGATTGCAGCATCAGAAAAGTTAAGAACCACTGTTCCAGAACATGCCCCTTTACAGTCTCCTAGGCCTCAAGTGGGCCGTGGCTTCTGGCCAGCCAAGTTGAAATCTTCAGCTATCTTACTTCCCACCTTCCTCATTGTAAGCGGCCACTTTGCCATAAAAATCCACAATGCACCATGTCTTCCTGACTGTGTTTCCTCCGTCTCTCCTGGAACAATGGTAGCCACTTTCTCGTTGGCTTCTGCGCATCTACTTGGCCCCACTGATCTCTTTATCATTGCGGATTCACAGCTCCCCCCCCCCCCCCCCGGATGCCAGGCTAGTGAGTGCCAACCTGAACAACTCGTGCTGTGTTCTAGCCCCTCCCCCACCACACTGCCACTCTTGGGACTTCGGTGAGCTAGGCACACACCTAGAGACCTTTGCCCTGTGTAAGGTTATTTGACACGAAACCCTCCATCTTTCTTGTTGTCCTACCAGCAGCTTCTGTGTACATAGTGCTGTAATCCACATCTCTACTTCCTTGTAGAAGCCAAGGTTGTTTTTATTTCCTTCTATGTAAATTCCCTTGAAATATTTCTGTAGCCCTGTCCCCCTTCCCCTTTAAAAGCGACATGCCCTTTACCACAATGTTCATATGCCCCTGACAATCTCCGTCCCATATTTAATCATTTTAGGAAGAGCTGAGGTCAGAAGCCACACGAAGTAAGAACTGGCTGTTTGTTCACCTAACACAGGAGAGTCAAGGATGACGGGAGGCTCCCTAGCTCTCTGAGGACCCTGTCATCCATTCAAGAGGGATGCCTTCCGGATCTGAAGCACTGAAGTTCTACCTCAGTTACTGTGGGCAAGCTCCACATTGCCCAGCTTGCAATTTCTTCAGCAAACAGTAATCATGGTGTTTACCTGGCTGCCTCCACAGAATGATGTCATGGAGCCCACAAAGGGCATGGAGCCCACAAAGGGCTCGGCACAAAGGCACATGGCCAGTTACCCTCACAATGCTGTGGGCTGCGGTCACACTTGTGGGTGGGTGGCCCTGAGGGAAGGGCTCCATGCTGTGGCCCAGTCTCTTGCTGTGAAATCCCATACTGAGCTCCAGAAACAGGGAGTGACCATCTCGGACACACTGTCACCTCAGTGAAGGTTCCCTGAGGGCTGGTGTGACATAGCTTAGATTTTTGCCATTTCTTTGTTTCAGTTTTGTTTCTCTCCCACCACCAATGTAGTGGCCATCTCTGTGCCTGTGTGTGCCAGCCCCACCCCGGGAAGCATGGCAAAGGGATGGCTTTGGGGACAGTTTCTTCATGTGGGTGTGTAAGAAGAGGATGGGTGAGTTTGCTCAAATGCACTGAAAGTCTTAAAAATGCCTGCTGCTGTACTAGGGACAGGGCGTGGCGAGGAGCAAGTAAACAGGACGAGTCTGCTACAACCCTGTGTGGAGGGCTGAGCAGACAGTAATAAAATGTCATGTGGCCATGGTTTATATGGGCCAGTGTCCCAGTGCTATGGTAAACACCCTGGAAAGTCAACTCAAAAGAGCAAAGCTGCGTTTGGGCTCACACTTTGAAAGTTTGCGGCCCGTGATCAGCTGGCTCCACTGTTTCCTGGTGTGCGGTGAGGAAGAACTTCATGGTGACAGGGCCTGATGGAGTCAAGCTGCTCATTTCATGGCAGCCAAGGAAGAGAGGAGGGGAGAGCGAGGAAGAGGAGGAACGGGAGACAAGCTATACCCTTCGAAAGCATGCCTTCCACAGTGGCCTATTTCTTTTAAACTTAACTATTTCTTTTGCCTCCCAACAACACCATCAATATGACTGTGTCAAAGGGTCTTTCCACTGATGAAGATATAGCCTTCTTTTCTTGCTTACTGGTTGGTTTAATCTGTTTCTATACTGCCACTGCTAAAGCTAGTGTGTGTGTGTGTGTGTGTGTGTGTGTGTGTGTGTGTGTGTGAATCTCTGTGCATCTGTGTGTGTCTGTGAGTGTGTGTGTGTGTGCATGTCTGTATGTGTGTCTGTTTGTGTGTGTATCTGTGTGTCTCTGTGTATGTGCATCTGTGTTTCTGTGTGTTATGATGGGGGTGTGGAAAGCTTTGTACATGTTAGGCAAGCACTCTACCACTGAGCTACATCCTGAGATGTTTACACAAGAGGGTTTTAAGCAGAAGAAAGGCATGATATAATTTGCTGTCTTGAAGGATCGCTCTATGGAGAAAAAATGGGGCAGGGTGGAGCAATGAGGAGGCCTGTGAGGAAATGTATCCAGGCAAGGACTGATAGTGACTTGGGCTGGGGTGGGTTTAGGGGAAAGAGACAAAGATTCCAGAGGCACTTTGAAGTCATTGCCTATGGAATTTGCTGACGTGAGGAGGAGAGGGATGAGAAAGAAGCAAGAATAATGGTGGCCTGAATATTTGGATAAACACTGAGACAGGCAAGGCCAAAGGGCTGGCGTGGATACGTTAGGGGGTGAACAGAAGGAATCATGAGTTTAGTTTGAGACTTCGAGACAACCAGACGAGGCTGCTGGACAGGCTTTTGACTTTGAAGCTCAGACAAGAGAACGGGGTTTGAGGTAAATATTTGAGAGTCACCAGTGTACACGAGATCTCCATTGCCTTGAGGATGGATACGGTCACTGAGGGAGAGGAGAGGGAAGGAAGAAAGAAAAGACTAAAAGAGGAGAGACGGGGAGGGGAGGGAAGGAGAGACTAGAGGAGAGGAGGTGAAAGGAAAGAAGGAGGAGGGAAGAGGCGAGGAAAGGATTGGCAAGGTGTTAGGTTTTCTGGTTTTGTTTAATTTCTTGTTAGTGTGACCCAAATGTTTGAAACAACTGGAGTGAGATCTTGTATTTTGGTTCCCAGTTTCAAGGGGATCCGTCAACTGTCGCCAGACTCCACTGTTCAGGCCTGCTGTGAGGCAGAGATCATGGCAATGGGAGAATGGCAGGCCTTCCTTCCTGTGCTCAGAGAGCAGAGAGAGGCAACAGCCAGAGTTAGGTGTCCCTTTCTTTCGCCATTTTCCTTTGTCACAGGTCTTCCCTGACAATCCTCTCTGGAAACTCCTTCCTAGACCTCACAGTTTCCTTACCCAGTTCCCTAAGTGTTTCTAAATCCATTCAAGTTGATACTAAAGAGTAACCACCTCAGAAAGAGGGGGGAGGGGAGGGGAGCAGAGAGAAGGATCAGCTAAGGAGGGGAGGAGGCCAGAATGGGAGTGAAGACTGTGCTTTAAGACTGAGGAAATCCCCATTAAATGTTTCAGATGCCCCAGGAAGAGGAGGCGAACACTGGCCACTAACACTGTAGACAGGAAGCCTGAAGATTATTGATTCTAGGGAAGAGGCGATGCATCCCACTGCCCTACAGGACCCATTGCCACAGCCGCTGAGACCCCCCCTAGCTGTACTTCAGGAACCACAAGGATGGCAACCCCAGGACAGAATGAAAGATAGCCATCAGCACCCAGAACACTGGCTTTGTGGTGAATTCTGGGAATGTGTGCAGTGATGACCTAATGTGGACCTCACATCTTCCATAACACAGCTTGTCTATAGCTCAGGGAGGGTGGGGTAGAACAATCTAGATAACAGTAATAATAATATTATTATTACTATTGGTTTTTTGAGACAGGGTTTCTCTGTGTAGTCTTGGCTGTCCTAGACTTGGTTTGTAAACCAGGCTGGCCTTGAACTTGTAGAGAACCTCCTGCCTCTTCCTCCCCAAGTACAGGCATGCCCACCATGACCAGCTT